TGCTGCCAGCACTGACCCACCCAGAGAGTTTCTCCAGGTCTTTCCTGGGATAAAAAGTGATCCTGTTTGACTTACAGCTTTCCTCCCCCAAAAAACAGAGCACTAGGGCAGGCAGCTGCAAACTCCACAGGGTAGGTTTAGATGGGATATTAGGAAAAAAATTCCCAGGAAATTTTATAGCACTGGCACAGGCTGCTCAGGGCAGTGGTGGAGTCGCCATCCCTGGAAGGGATCAGCAAATGCATGGATGTGGCAGCTGGGGATGTGGTGTGGGGGTCAGGGCAGTGCTTGGGGAACGGTTGGACTCGATCACAGAGGGCTTTTCCAACCTTTTTCCAACAGTTCTGTGAGTCTGTGAACTGAAAGTCTGCTTTCCCACGGGCTTAGATGCAGGGGACACTTTTTCCCTGGATCCAGCTGCCCCAGGAGGATTTGAGCTCCTCTCACACAGTTCCTGATCTTCAGGCCCTGCCCATCAAGCCCCTGGGCACTGTTTGCCCTCCCTGCCCAGGTGTGGGGCCACTCTGCTTGAGGGGCAGGAGGTCTGCAGAGACCTGTCCATGGGCAGGTGGGTGTTCCTACAGCTCAGGGAGCCTTTGCCACCCCTGTGCCAGGTGTCCATCACACAGAGATTCCACTCTGGCCGTTCCCAGGGCCGTTTTCTAAATGGACTCTCTTTTTCTTTCCTCTTTTTGTTCCCTTTCATTTTCCTTGGGGTTTTTTGTTTGGTTTTGTTTTTTGTTTTTTGATTTTTTTTTTTTTTAAAAAGAACACATTGTTACAAGAGCTGGAAAACACCCAAAAGCAGATAGAGGAACACCAGCACGACAAGGTAAATGAGGCTGCAGGGAGCCTGCCCCAGTGACTGCACTTCCTCACTCCAAACCCTGGCATGGGGGCAGTGGCTCCTCCCAAAATGCCCAAGTTTTGGAGGACCTGGGATCCTGGAATGCCCAGCAGCAGGAGGGCACAAACCAACCCACACAGTGGCTGGATGGAAGCTGCCACCACCTCCCTGGAGACCCCGGGGCAGTTCCCTAACCAGGCGTGTTTGGTCCTGTCTCCGCATTTCTGTCTCATCCATCCTCAACCTCCCAAGGCCTGGGTGGCTTTGCCCGTGTATAGAGGAGGGATCAGGCAGCAACATCCCCTTCCCCTCGAGGCTTCCTCAAATTTAGCTCCATGCCCAGCCTGCAGGATTCCTGTAGGTCTTCCCACTCTGGGATCAAGCATCCAAGGATGCCCTGCAGGAATCCCTGTTGGCCCATGCTGGAAACCAGGAGGGTTGTTGCAGCTTTTGGAAGTTTTTGGAACAATGGGAAGCCTTTGGGATGTGCCTCATGTCTGGTGCATGGCTGGGGGGGCTGGGGGGGCTGGTTCTCCTCCTTGGCCAGGCCTTGCTGTCCCAGATGTTCCAAGGACTCGCATGATGCTGTTGGGATGTCGCCCACCCTGGCTCAGCCTCTTTACCCACCTGGCTGGATCCTGCTGTGCAGGAGAATCCCCTCCCTCCTCCTTCCCTGCCTGCAGCCTCCCCTGTCCCATCTCCCAGTGCAGGCACAGCTTCCCCATGGGAATGGGGCTGGCAGCAGGAGGGGCAGGGCCAGCAGCAGATTTGGCTGGTGGGTCCCTCCCTGCTGGTCCTTTGCCAAGGGACAGAGTGCAGTGTGGAGCAAAACCAGAGCATACAACTGGGACCAATTCTCCTTCATCTCCCAAATCAGCATGGCTTGAGCACACACACATCTGTCTGTCTGTCTGTCTGTCTGTCCTGTGACCCCTCCCCAGCACCCTCATCCTCTGTGCCTGCATGAGCTGTTTCTTCACTGACACGTCTAAAATGCTTTAAACCTGGGGTGGGGATTTTTGAAGGGAATATAAACCTGGCAGCAGCCAAGGATTTGGGTTCCCCCAAACCTGGCAGCTCTTCAGAGCCAAACCCAACCCCTGCCTGTCTCGTCTCGCCCCGCACAGCGGCGATTGTCGGACGAGATTGACAAGCTGAGGCTGGAGGTGGATCAGCTCAAGACCAGAAGTGGGACCTTCGTGGAGAGTGTTCACTCCAGGTAAGAGCCAAGCCCCTGCACCCACAGGGACATTTTGCTTTAGTGCTGTTGGCATCAGGCATTTCTGGTGGCTCTGGGTGCAGGGTGGCCCCTCAGAGCAGGCTCAGCTCCAGCTGTGCTGTCCCTCTGTGGATCTGGGACAGACTGTTTGGAATAGCCCAGCCCGGTGAATGGCCCAAAATTCGCTCTTCTAAGGGTGAAAAACCACTGGGCATTGTTTCTTTTTCTGCACAAAGGGCTTGGGGGTTAATTTTCTACAAAAGCTGGATGTTCACCAAAGGCCTTTCCCCCTGTGGGGTGCAGGGGGAGAAAGAGGAATCATTTCTGAGGTGTTACAGGTAAAAGAGAATGAACTCCATTTTCTCCCTCCTTTCTACTGTGGTCCTCCCACACCCTTTCATTTAAAGTCATCTGGGAGATGGGGATGTCCCAGCCCAGAGCTCCTGGAGCAGAGGTGAGTCCATGGAGTCTCAGCCTCCAGCATTGACTGGGATGTCCAGCGGGAAAATGGGGTAGAAAAGGAGGTGAAGGCTCAACTTGCACCCCAAGGTGCTGCTGCAGCCACCTGGGAGAGCACATTCTCTCCTGAGCACTGTCAGCATGGGCTCAAGACACTGAGGGGTCAATGGGAGCAAAATTCCCCTCTCAGGAAGGCTGGAAAAGCTGGGAAGGAGCCACTGGAACCAACCTCAAATCTGCCAGCAGAGAGGGCAAGGTCTGGAGGCCCCAGGTCTGTCTTGGAGGGAAGAAAAGGTGAGAGAGTGAGGAAGAACCAGTGAGGATCAAGGGTATCTGAGTGCTGGTGGAGAGCCTGGAGCATCTGTGGGACCCCTTTGGGTCTCTAAGAGCAGGATGGACAATCTGATCATGGTTTTTTAATATTTCTTGGAGGAAAAATCAATGGAAATCTGGAGTTGCAGAGTAATCCCCCAGCTGAAATGTCAGCTTTTGTCTGAGGTGCCTTTATCTGGTCTTAGCTGGGGAGCAGCTTTGTCAGCAGCTTAAAATCCCCTCTGAAACTTGGGCTGTGCCTTTGTCTGCAAAGCCCAGGCTGGCACCAGCCAAGCTGCTCATGGTGGTGGTTTTATCTGGGCTCACTGGGGAGCCCAGACCTGGATCTGCACTGCAAACCAAGCCCACCATGGTGGACAAAGGCGATCTGCCTCGGACACCTGCTTCTGTCACCTGAGATGCATCTTAAATTAAATAAACCTGGAGTCTCCTGTGGCAGTGTGTGGGGGGAGGAACGACCCCCTGCCCCTGGCTGGGTCTTCAGGGCAAGGAGGAGCAACCAGGGAACATGGAGACAGGGATTGAGTGCCAGGAGTGGCAGAAAGTGTCCTTGTGTCCAGCAGCCACTGCCTTGCTCTGCCTGGCACAGGGGCTGCTCCCCAGCACAGAGGAGGAGGAGGAGGAGGATGAAGAAGTTCCATCTAGTTTCTGCTGGGAGATCCCAAACAGTGCTCATGTCCTCAGACCTGGAAGGTGCTTCAAGTGGGATTTTATTCATAGAGTTATGGAATCATTAAGTTTGGAAAAGACTCCAAGGTCAAGTCCAACCTTTGTCCAAGTACCACTCCCAGTAAATCATCTCCCCAAGTGCCACGTCCACTCATTTCCAGGGGTGGTGACTCCACCACTGCCCTGGCAGCCTGTGCCAGTGCTTGACCACTCTGTCAGTGAAGAAGATCTTCCTGATATCCAACCTGAACCTCTTCCGGTGCAACTTGAGGCCGTTTCCCCCTGTCCTGTCAGTTGTTCCTCCATCAGGGTATTTTTTCATTAAAATGTTGAAGAAAACAAAGAAAGGAGAAGAACCCCCTGGCTGGCCCTTGTTGTGCACGTGGGGATGGAGAAGACACAAGTTGTGCTGTAGGTGTTGGGAGGCTCAAGCTGTTCTGGAGAGGAAAGGCAGGAGGAGCCTGTTCAGCCCCCCCTGCACAGGGGGGGTTTGGGGACAGTTGGCTGTTTTGGGGACAACTGGCTGGATTCCTCCATGGGGATGCACAGAATGGGGAGGGAGCAGCATGGGAAAGCCCAGGGCAGAACTTCCTACAGTCTGTGGGAAAGTTGGGATCTCCTGAAGGGAGAATCATTGGGGTCTGCAGTTTCCTCACAAGGGGCAGCTCTGATCTCTGCTCTGTGTGAGCAGGGACAGCCCCCAGGGAATGGCTGGAGCTCTGCCAGGGCAGGATCGGGTTGGATCTCAGGAAAAGGCTTTTCCTCCAGAGGGTGGTTGGCACTGAACAGGCTCCCCAGGGCAGCGGGCACAGCCCCAAGGCTGCCAGAGCTCAGGGAATGTTTGGACAACACTCTGAGGGACAGGGTGGCATTGCTGAGGTGTTTGTGAGGGCCAGGGTTGGATTGATGATCCTTGTGGGTCCCTTCCAGCTCAGGATGTTTTATGATTCTGTGAGTCTCTGAGCACATCTCCAGGGCCAGTGGGGTGGGAATGGGACACTTTTTCCAGAGCCTGGATTTTCCTTCTTTCAAGCACCACTGGGATGGGCATCCCGGAGTGGCCTCATCCTCCTGCTCTGTCCCAGCAGCCTGGACTGCCAGGGGGGCAGCCTGGGCACCCTCCCCCAGTGGAGCAGTGCCCACCACAGGGCTTTTTGTCCCCAGGTCCCACATGGGCAGTGCCACAGACCTGCGCTTCCCGCTGGGCACCGTGGTCCACGCGCCCGCCGAGGCCTTCGGAGCAGCCCCGGGGCTGCCCCGGGCACAGAAGGGCCGGTTCGGTGCCAGGAGAGAGGAACCAGCCAAGGTAACCCGGCTGGGGACAGGGGTGGGGCTGGGATCTGCTCCTGCCTGCCATCCCGCTCTCCTGGGTCCTCATCTGGGGATGTGGGGCAGTTTCCTTCGCCAGGGGCGTGGATGGGGTAAGGAGGGCGTGCTGGTTGAAAAGGAAAGCAGCAGAGAAACAAACCCAACTCAAGAGAGATCACAAGTCAGAGTTACAATTTACTAAAATGATTGCAATAAATACAATGATGTGGAGAAAACTGATTTTAAGCCCCAAGGACAGATGCATAACCCAGCACCCTGGGACAGGAACAGAGCAGTGTTCGTGGGCCCCTGTGCTGAGCTCAATGTGGCCCCCCTGGGAGCAAAGTCAAAGGAAAGGAAAGCTGTTGGTCAGGATGATGGTCACAGCTGTGTTGACGTTGTGGTCCTCCTCTGGATCCACAAGTGGTCCCAGAAGAGCCCAGAGCCGTGGATTATGTGTGCTCAGGTTCAGGGGGGAATGCCCAGTACCTCCCCAGGGGGGGAGTTCCACAGTGGGTGATTTACCTCTGTGAGCCATGGGGATATTTTTGGAACCTCTGATGGTCTGGGTGGTTGCAGCTGCCCCTTATGCCAGTCCCTTCTGCCAATCCATTAGCAGAGATGACCCCTCAGGCTGGGGGTGAAGGTGCTGATGCCTCCCTGGAGGGGAGTTACCACAGCTGAGTCACTGGTGTGAAGACAAAGACACTGCCCTGCCTGGCAGGGTTCTGAGAGCCTGAGGTGTCAGGTGTGCCCTGGGCAGCTGCTGCAAACAATCCTTTTGTTACCAGTCCATCAGAGATGACACAGAGGGTGTAGAACTCACAGTTTTGGTTATACCCACAGGGCCATAAACTGGCCCTGGAACTGGGACAGAAGGGTTTCCCCTCAGGGTCACACTGAGCTGTAACTCCTGCATGGGGAGGGCTCTAGTCTGGCTTTTTGGGGGTGCTGTGTAGGACCAGTGGACCTTGTCCCCCACTAGGACTGGGAGCAGGCCCAGGCAGGAGCTGTCCTGGCCACGGGGCCCCACAGTTTCGACAGCGACCCCGACATCTCGGACGTGGACGAGGATGACCGCGAGACGCTCTTCAGCTCCATGGACGTGCTGTCCCCTGGAGGGCACTCGGATGCCCAGACCTTGGCCATGATGCTCCAGGAGCAGCTGGATGCCATCAATGAGGAGATCAGGTAGTGACCACGTCCAAAACCCACCATTGCCTTATGCTGAAGTGGCTCGGGGAGGTGTCAAAAAGCTGCCAGGAGGAGTCTCTGGTGACCTAAAACTGAGGTCTGGATGCATCTTCAGCCAGGGAAATGGCTCCAGAACATCCAGCCACAGTGCTTGGTCCTTCTTGCCCATGGCTCCTTGTCCCTCAGCTGCACCATTGCTGGACCAGAGGGTCATTATTTTGAAAACAGTCCCCTATGAGTATTAAAAGAAGCCATGGTGTGTTTCCCCCTGGTTTCTGTGGATCCTGGTGGATCTTGCAGCCCTTCCCGGAGACTGGGGGGGCTTGAGTCACAGCATGAGGATGCATTTCCCCAGGGAGGGATGTCCTGTGGCTGGGAGGGGTGAGATGACCCCCTGAGCCCTCCTGCTCCCCCAGGATGATCCAGGAGGAGAAAGAATCCACCGAGCTGCGTGCGGAGGAGCTGGAGACACGCGTCACGAGTGGCAGCATGGAGGGCCTCAACCTCACCCAGCTCTGCAAGAGGGCCTCCATCCCCACCTCTCTGACTGCCCTGTCCTTGGCCAGCTCGTCCCCGCCCCTGAGCGGCCGCTCCACGCCCAAGCTCAGCTCCCGCAGCGCCGCGCAGGACCTGGACCGCATGGGGATCATGACGCTGGTGAGGAGGCCCGGGGGGCTCCGGAGGGGCTGGCAGGGAGGGTGTCTGTCTGGGGTGGCATCCTCAGGGGTGTGTGTGGGGGGTGGAGCGGGGGTGCCCATGGTTGCTGTCTCCAGCCTGGCACGCCTGGCCCCGGGACTGCTCTGCTGGGGGGGTTCTCCATTAACTGCCCCCCTTTCTGTGTCTCTCTCGCTTTCCCCCTTGCAATCAGCCCAGCGACTTGAGGAAGCACCGGAGGAAACTGCTAGTGAGTGGCTCCCATCCCGTTGGTTTTTGTCCAAGCCCTTTTT